TAATAATAATAATAATAATAATAATAATAATAATAATAATAATAATAGATAATCAGAGTTAGAAGGGACCTTGTAGGTCATCTAGTCCAATCCCCTGTCCATGCAGGAGACCCTACACCATTTCTGACAGATGGGAGTCCAATCTCTTCTTGAAAGTCTCAAGTGATGGTGCTCCCACAACTTCCGAGGGCAAGCTGTTCCATTGGTTGATTGTTCTCACTGTCAGAAAGTTTCTCCTTATTTCCAGGTTGAATCTCTCCTTGTTCACTTTTCATCCATTATTCCTTGTCTGGCTTTCGGGTGCTTTAGAAAATAGCTTGATCCCTTCTTCTCTGCGGCAGCTCCTCAAATATTGAAAGACTGCTATCATCTCTCCCTTGGTCCTTCTCTTCACTAGACTATGTTTTAGTCTCCAATCCCCTAATCATCCTGGTTGCTCTTCTCTGCACACTTTCTAGAGTCTCAACATCTTTTTTATAATGTGGTGACCAAAACTGGATGCAGTACTCTAGGTGTAGTCTTATTAAGGCTTTATAGAGTGATATTAGTACCTAAAACCACTCTATAAAGGTTAAGGAGAGAGCATAATGAAGAAAAAAAACTTGCTGACATGTAATCATTTCCACCAACTCCAGCCAACCTAAGCAATGACAAAGGACTAGAAACTGTAGTTGAGAACATTTGAATATCAGGTTGTCTAGTCCTGAACTTATGAGGAAAAATTGACAGAACTGGGTTTGCTTAGCCTGGAGAAAACTGTCCCTTTCCCTCATTCCTATTAATGATAGTAAAGCTTTGGAAAGAGAAAGGAAGCGCATTTAATCTGGGCAGGAAACATATTAGAAGAAAAAGTCAATTCCCATCTGAACATCTCCAGTGAGCCATTATCTTGGTGACAGACTCTAATGCTTTTAAAAGCTATAGAGTAGCTGCCATATTTTGGCAGCACTTGTAATGTATTTCAAAAGAGTTCCAAAATCTCTGAATAACAAAGAGGGATTCTAGTCCTGCTAAGCAGGAGAGGAGCATCAACTTGCCATGACTTCTTGTATTTCATTTATGGCCTCATCAATGGAATACAAATATTTGCTACATTGCTATACCTTTGCTACATTGATATAAATGACAGGAATTGGTCTTTATTAAATGAAATATAATGAAAGACCACCAATCCTTGTTATGAAACACACACACACACACACACACACACGTACACACACACAAATTTAGATAACACTGGAAGCCAGCAAAAAATGAATGAATCCAAGTCCACATTTTGTTTCTATTTGTTGTCCTTAATTCTATTGCAAGATGCAGGCACTGAATAGAATTTTCTGTGAAGTATGTTTATGTTGGTAGATTTATTTAATTTGGTAGCAACAGATCTCTTGCATTTTCTATAAGAGTGGCTATTCTTTCTGAGGGTTTTGCTTTGCTTACTGTACTGTTTATTGGCTGGAACTAGAAAAATTAAAATATTGGGTTTGCACAGTACATTAAGTTATGATACGGTTTGCTCGGGCCTAGTTTATTGTGTGAACCCATCCAGTGTGATTTGTAAATAATTATTCCTATCTTGGAATCTCTAATGAGATGGTATTAAATAATTTCAGTTCAATGTTTTCTTACAGTCCAATTTAAGTTTAAGAACAATATAAAGGAATTAATTCACAAGGCAGTAGGAATGCAAATGGAAATCCTGTTGATTTTCTGATTGCCGAGAAATTTTAAATGGAGACATAAAGGGTGGATCATAAGAAACATAAAGAAGGGGCAAGTTAAAGGATATTGTAATATTTGGTTTTTGACAACATCATGCTATGATATGTTCTGCTATTAAATACCCACAGTGGCACAGTGGATAGAATAGAGTATTGCAGGCTAATTTTGCCAATTGCCAGTAGTTCAATCCTGACCGGCTCAAGGTTGACTCAGCCTTCCATCCTTCTGAGGTTGGTAAAATGAGGAGCCAGATTGAAGGCCAGATTGAAGGCCGCATCAGGATTGTATTTTACCTTGGAGGGCCAGAGTGGGTGTGGTCAGAGTGGGTGTGGTCAGCTTGATATCACTCGTGTCGGGGTGCCTGTGGTGGCCCGAGCCCTCTGCCAGAGAAAACAGGCTCCTGAGCTCCGTTTTCGGCTGCAACGGCCTCCTGTAAGTAACCCTCTGCCAATGAAAACAAAGCTCAAGAGGGCTGTGTGCAGCCCACCCGAGTTCTGTTTTTGCTGGCAGAGGCACCACAGGCCAGTCTTTCGCCGTTTCCAGGGTGGCCCCGTGGGCCAGATCTAATCACCCCGTGGGCTGGATCTGGCCCCCGGGCCTTGAGTTTGACACCCCTGATCTAGATAATCTCAATAAGGGCAGCTAGGAGAGCAGCAAATGACATTGAAATATATTTGTGCCGAGCCTACTTTTCAATGCATACAAATCATGGCCTGACTGTATTTGTAGCCCTATGATGGAAAGTCAAGCACAACAAAAGAAAATATGTGCATTCTGAAACTCTTAGAGAGAAAGTAGGTGGATTTTCAAGAATTTCATCTTTCAAGGTGCCTTTGAACAATACAGAACCATGGCAGAAAATATATTTGGTAAAGTGGATGATTCCAAGTTTCCTTTAAATTTTAATTCTTTATAATTGCTGAAACTGCTATTTAATTTTACGTGCGGGCTGAGTGTTTTTGTGCATCTCAACAGAAGTATGAAGATATAAAAAATATCTATATATGCAGACTGATCACCGACAGTAGTTCTCAGTAGAACCAGTTCACAGATATAGTTAAACAGAAGTATGAGGAAAATGCAACATCAGCATTTCAAAACAAAACCAAAAACTACCAAGCAAAACATAATTGTTATTTCTAATGAGAAATATTTTCTTTCTGATTTCAAGCTATAATCAGGTCCAAATCAATTTAGTCTGAGAGTTCCATAATGCTTCTTTAACATTCTTTTCCATCATAATTATGTGTGTCTCTCTGTGTGTAAACATTAAAAAAAAGATACAGAAGTGTTGGGAAAATACAGATGGACTATGGCAATTATTTCAACTTTCTTAAAATAGAGATAGAAAGATTGCAAAATACAAAGCTTTGCTTGGAAGCATCTGTAGACTAAGATTTAAATTCTATTAATTCTTTTGGTTTGCTATGAGGGTTACAGCTTGATACTCTACATTCATTGCAGATACTATTTACAAGATTTTTATGAGTTTCTTTCTTTCTGTCAAAAAACTTCTAAGCTTACCTTTTTCTTTATGAAAATAAAGGTTGCCAATCTGCGCAGAGATGATGGATTACAAAAAAATGTTTTGTGTGTGATAACAATCAAAACCCATTTATTATGGTGACTGGGCTTATAAGATTTAGTGTCAGATATAACACAGAAGGTAGTTTGCTTATCTCTGAGCATTATCTAGTGGTCAAAGAGAACCTAGATTACTAATTATTCCTGAAAAAGCTCCATATTTTTCACACCTTCCATTCTGAAGTTCAAACTGATTTCCTTCTATTCTATTTGAATCTCATTGACGGAGGCAATTCATTCACATAATTCCAGTGTTTATTGTTTCACAAAAAGAACAAGCTAACGGGATGACTGACTCATGTTATAGTAGAAAAGCAAATGAAGATCCTTTCAGCTTCAAAGAGATGCTGGTTGCTTGGAACAACAGTTAGAAATAGTAAGAGCAGGTGCAGGTAAAAGGATCGAGATTTTTAGCTGCTCTAATAGGCTGCAGATGCCTGGCAAACACATTTAATGGAAGTTTCCTAAGGTGACTCATCCCTGCAGAGAACTTTGGGTTCTCTTTAGATCAGTTTGCATTCTGGCTAAGTGTCAGGGGATTTTAGGATAGATTGAAGACGCCGTGAAGTGAATGGTTTCAGCCATTAATACAACGAAGGCAATTGATGCGATGCCTGGGAAAATGAGAGTAAAAAGGCTGAAGTGACATAGATGGGATATTGGGGCAGAGCACCGTCACAGTTAGCTGTGTCAGTGTTTGAAAAGAACACTGTCTTCTGAAGCAGCCCAGGAAAAGGCAGTAATTATTGAGAACATTGACT